CAGTTATATCCACTGGGGGAACAACAGAACATAATGCAAACACCACTAATGAATATCTCCTGCATCAGTGCAAGATGCTCTGCCTTTTTGTAATTACGCCTTAACTTGGCCAGTTACTGTTAGAGATTCTTAATTAGTTACAATTGCCAACAGGTGTGTGAAATTGATTGTTACAAGAAAAAATATTTTTTGATCCATAAATTTTGCCCGGAAAATAACCTCAGCTTTTTCAGTAATGAACCAAAGATGATGTGTGTGTAAGAAAAACATGGGACTGGGTTATATCAGTGATGATATCACTGACAGATCTTCTAATGAGTCTGATATTCTGCATACAATAATCCCAATGGATACTGACAAATGACTTTGGCTACATGTTGCAATTCATAATTGTACTGAATGGAGCATGGCAAAGATCTTGCTTGCAATGAATTTAATGAACATGGAATGGCAGAGACTCTAAAGTCCATTCTTGTTAGATGATCAGTTGATGTATATATGTACATTGTACATTAAACATGAACCAGTCATATTTTGGACAAATACAGCATGAGTCTAAGAGTAAGACTCACCTGCCTTGTAGGCTTGCTACTTGACACGCCTTTCAGCGCTGGGTGTTGCAGACATCATCAGTCAGAACCACCTCTCATCAGCCGTTTCGTCCCCTAATCTGATACGGCTTCCAGGTGGGGGGACAGCAGGGCGGACGTCTCCACTCTGCTTCTCTGCAACGCCATCTTGACTACTACTCCTTGGTTTTCCAGTGGCAGTCCTTCCTTCTCAGCCAAAGCCAGAAACTACATCTTTCCACCTCTTCTGCCATCTGTTTTACCAGCTGCTTTTGGCCGATGGAGAGATCTCTGCATAGCCGTGTAAGGGATGTTCCGACGAAACCCCTACAGCCCACCTCGACGGGGTACAGCAGTGACCTCCACCCATTCTCCGCACACTGTTGAACCAGCTCCTGGTATTTAAGCTTTTTCCGCTCATACGCAGCTTGAATGTTCTCTTCCCATGGTATAGTCAGCTCAATCACCAGGACTGTCTTCTGTACTGAAGACCACAAGACTATATCAGGACGTAAGGTCGTCTCGCAGATGTTCCTAGGGAAGACCAACCGTTTATCCAGGTCGACTGCCATCTCCCACTCTCCCTTCCTCATCAGGCCTTCACAACTCCTCCTAACCCCCTGTGTCGCACTCTGCCCTTCCTTGACGAAGGGGATGAAGGTCTGCTTCTGAGTTTCCTCTCTGCTTCCTGCCTTCCTCCTTCGGACTTCTAGGGCTGCTGCCAGGACCCTGAGGGCTTTGTTGTGACGCCAGGTGAATCTACCCTGTTGTAGGGAGGTAGTACAGGCAGAGAGGGTATGCTTCAGGTTTGCCTTCGGCGTTCCACATAACTGGCATGCTTCCTCCCTTGAATACCACCTGCTTAGATTCCTCGGGCATGGGAGGACGTCGTATACTGCCCTGATCAGGAAGCTGAGTCTGCAATCGGGAATCTTCCACACATCGTTCCAGGTCAACTTTCTGTCTAAACAGTCTTCCCAATTGACCCAAGCTCCCTGTTGCTTCTGACTAACTGCACAAACTTTCCTCCCTTCTTCCTCCATTCGTTTAACCTCTTCCACTACGAGCTGTTTTCGCTCTGTCTGGGTGGCTCTCTCCCATCTCTGGGTTCTCTCTCCCCACCCCAGACCGGTCCTTCCTCGCTGAACTGCTCCTACTATATCCCTGTGCTTTAGCCTGCTGATTGCTTGGTTGATCACTTCTTCAGGGTTCCACTTTCGGCCTGTTTTCTGTCTCCTATAAGCTGCCTTGACAGCGTTGTCCTTTGACCACATCAGCTCTAAGGTCATTCGCACCTTGTCCAACTTGTATTCTTCTGTAACAGAGTTGATTGGTAGAGTCAGCGTATTTCTACCAGCTAAGGCGATCCTTGATAAACACCGCGGTACTCCCAGCCATTTTCTTATAAAAGAGTTGGTTTTTGCTTCAATCTGATCGGCTGTCGTCAATGGGATCATATATAATATATATAAGAGGGACCTCACCTGATGTTCAGTGTAACTCTTACCTCTTAGCTACTAGTACAAAATGTAATTAAATATGCAGCACATGTAAATAGACATCATTTGATATATAATTTATTCGAATTTGAATATGAATTTTTTTCAATGGAATGATAAAGAAATCTAGAGATAGAATCAGGACTTTCAAGTCCATGATTTTGCAATTATTAGATGAAATCATACTGCTTGATGTCTACCCAGATACCGGTATACTTTGATTTATCTGCGATAGGGAGGATAGACATACAGTATGAAAATACATGTGTCTGGAATTTGATAAAATTGTAGACTGCAACCTGATAACATTTATATATATTCTATAGATCATTACTGTGATTTTTTTGCAGCATTTTATTGTTAAGTAGCATTTATCACTGATTTTTTAAAATCCCTGTCTTATATATTTCCTACAGTTAAAGTTGCTTCACCTACAAACTCAAAGATGTACCATGCTCTTGATTTTCACTACAATGTCAAATTTACAGTGCTTACTCCCGGTACTCCCAGATAGAAAAGATTTAGTACTGTCCCAGGGCCCAGTATGCATTAAAACTTTTTAAGCATGTGGCTACATACATACAACTTCCTACATGTATTATCCAAGTGTCAAATAGCGTACCCAAAGCAGACCATCCTTGAAGCTGGGTACGTGACGGGGTTAAGGTTAAGTTCAAATAAGCACGTCATGCAGACAAGGTTCAACACGCACCCCCAGCCAGGTCATACCAAAGACTTTAAAAATGGTACATACATTTTGTCAGGTGCTTGCTTAGCACTCAGCACTTTGGAGAAAGACTCAGTTAAACATACTCCACTACCAGCAGACTACGTGCAAGAGCTGTATAGAAACGGAGATAGGCACTGCTGCCACACCAAAAGCCTTTAAGGTATGGGAAGGAATATTAGCTCTTAAGACTTAAGTATACATGTACATACATGTATGTACTAATTACTCTTTTTAATTTAAAAGTTTCAGGGCAGTTTTTGTCACACATTGCAACTTAAGGAGTTTAATTACTTCACCAGTAGAATTTGAACTTTTTAAAAGATATTGATGGAAAATATGATTAAGGTTATATTCCTGATATTTAAGTATGGCTACCATTACATAGTACATTTTGTATTACATGCATGTTGGAGTTATGGCATTTGTATTCCTGACCCCGCATGGATCTAAGATTTGCATCAGCAGTCTGGACTATTTTGTATTGCAAATTCTTTCTTGCTAATGTCTGTGTTACTTTACATTTTACATTTAATTAAAAATAAAATATAGAGAAGGGCAATTCCATGCAAATTCAATTAGGCAAAAAGACATGCAAGCAGCTAGTCAAGTCATGCATGTACTATGCATCTGCTTGGGGATTACAGATCTGAAGGAAATCCACCTGTTCACTATCAGCTTTATTGCAGTCATGACTGTGAGGTATAAATCTGAACTTGTGACCCAGGGTATAATGGCCCTGTTATGGACCTCTAGAATTACCCTTACTAACATATAGAGATATTGGAGTTTATCAAGGTCAATCATCCTGGTCCAAGAACTAGTTCAAGGTCATCAGTTGGGGCATGTAAACATGTTGTGGGAAGGGTGTCCTCAGATAACCCTGGACTTTTGTTTGGAACTAACCACTTTTGTTTCAGGGGTGATACTTTTGTACATCTGTGTTGGTAGTAGTACGTCGTTCCAACACAACAAGTACACAGAGATTGAATTTTTAACGACCACTGTCACCTTCATCAGGATAATTACTAGTAATGACCAATCACTTCCAATGGTGTCATCATATATTGAATAAGATTAGTCCTCAACATGAATTTGATTTCTTGGTTCTTGAAATATTGCAGGAAAATAATTGGCGTGTGAATTAAAAATTAAAAAGATGCATCCTGTTTTAAACCCAATACTGTTTCAAACATTGAATTTTCAAATTTTTGTAATTATCAATGAATAAACAAGATTTCTTTCATGATTGTGGAACACAAAAAGTGACCCTTACTAATGGTTTATTGACACAAATAGGGAAAACTAAACAGTACTATCAGCATCACGTAGTCCAGTTAACTTTTACGCTACCCATGGACAGACCATTAAAAAAGGCGTTATGTTTAAAGGGAATTTTTGTGTGTGGAGGAAATCAGGTATGTTAAATTATGCTGATGCAGGCATTTTGTAAGACTTTTAAAATGAAAAACTGGTGATTGAAAAGTTGGAAGTAGATGCTTCTTTTTGGTAGTACAACTGGAATTGCTCTTTATTTTACATGTGCACAGTAACTAATTAATAATATATAGTGTACATTGCATTTCAACTGTAAATAGATTTAAGTTTGTGGAGCCTTAATTTTGCCATGCCCATCTCTGTCCTTCCACAGTCTGAAGTTCCAGTACTAAATTATAATATTCTATTAAGCTGAGTGCAACCAAAGTCATTTGCACCGGCCAGGTCTTAATCAAAATAAAATAATGACATAAAAGACAGACATTTCACAACAAAAGACTGATACGACTAGAAGGGAACGGGGGGTTAAAACCGCAAGCGTAGTTTTCCCCCTACGACCTTCGCCCAACGTACTGAAGAGCACCACTGTGCTAGGAAGGCTGCCTCACCGAGGCGTACAAAGTCTAGCTTCAGTCTTGAGCGAAGGCACTCCTTGATGTACGGAACAAGTTGGCAGGAGTGGGTTGGTGGGAGCACTTGGACAGTAACCTGTCGTGGGTAGCTTGGCACATCCTTTTTCTATTCCCCTTCCTTTGTCTATGTCTCTGTCACGTCGAAAAGTTGAAAAAAAAAAGAAAATAGTTAAAAAACCTCCTGTCTCTCTTGTCTAGTTTTCACTCCTTTTTGATTTTGTTATACCCCAATTAAAAACGGGCCAGGTCTTAATCCCAAGGACACAACATCTAGCAAGGAATTTGAATAGAACCCCGGCGGACCACTCAATTCCATGTCTGCTAGCCAAAGCACTTTGAAGGCTGTCAATGTAATGTCAAGTTAAATTTATGGACAAAGTGGCCCTGGCTTGAGATGTTGTATTTGTCACTTAGGCATTAAGATGTGGTAATGAGCCATTGGGAGGTAGAGGTTTGCTGTTAACTAGGTTAAGGGACAGACAGCTAGCCTCTTACTAACAGTTAAATCAGTGTGGAATAGTAAGTGGTGCTGCATGTTCTGTCTTCTGTATTATGATTAACTAGAGAAAGTCTGTCATGATCAGGTTCACTTGAGATTTGTCATTTCCTGCAAATTTCATAATATTATTATGTCCATTTAAGTTTATAACAATGTGAAATCCAATGTTGTTAATATACCAGCGTGTGTCATCAATTTCACAATAGTTAAAATTTTCTACTTGAATTCTAACCACAATGTGATACTACAATGTAGTATGAATTCTGTGTACAATATAATGTACATGTAACGTTACTTGTTTATATTGACTGGCCAGGA